AATTCTATGGATTAAATACTTAAATTGAACATGTGCAAAAACTGTTAGTAGTTCTCAAAAATAAACTTGCTTAGCAAACAACAGATACTTTTCCAAGTTGTTTGCTTGCTTTCTCAAAGATCTCCAAAAGGCCAAACCAAGCAAATAAAAATTCCAGCTCCAAACATACTAGGACTGATAAGAACCAAGGAGTTTCACCATAACCAAAATAAACTGACTCAAATTAATAATCACACTGACAGACCAAATTACTAGTCCACCTAAAAAAGCTACAGGATGAGATGATAAAAAGAAAAACCAAGGCAGTGAATGTTGGAATGATACTTTTGGTGGTGGTGGTGGAGGAGAACATGCCATTAATTGAAGTAAAAAGAACTGTAAAGAATTCACAACTACATTCTCTGATTTTTAAAAGAAATCATAGGCAAATCTACTCTAACATAAAAGCTTACTTAAAAATCTCCGTGATTTTGAAGTTATGGCTTTTCAACTATAGATGAATCCAATATACACAGGCAATGGAATAAAAATCTTATTTACTGGCATCTATTTTCAAATCCAAATTGTAGAAAAAAATACATTAACAAGGTAAAATATATGCTCTGGTGTAATTAAAGCTTTTTATATTAAAAAAGAAAGGGGGGGGAAAAAAGTCCCAGAAGTGAAGTCACCTGCAATTAGATTCCCTTTTTAGGCTATATTCAGTCATTTTTGAACCATTTCCTAAGTTAATCATCAAACACATGAAAATCTCCCCAAACAATACCAAAAGAACCACAGAACCAAGTAGTAAACAATCAAAATAAGACGTCTGATCTATAATTGTCTCTATTTCCAGAAAACATGTCGGCTTATACTTCTCCCATTTCCAAAGTGCTAAATCACAGTAGTTCAAGTGAAAGAAAAGTTCTTTGACATCACAGATACAGAAGACCACTAATAATAAATTGAATGTGCACTGAAATAATGGAGATATTCAGATCAGTCGACTACTGTATTTTCAAGTTTAATTTATTCTTATGGAATAAAATATAACTTTAAAAATGAGCCCAAATTTATACTAACAGACTAGCACTCAGGATCCTGAATCTGCTCAATGTTTTTTTCCCAAATGCAACGATTACCATAAACTAATCATAATTTTCCTCTAAATTTTTAATGTTTTATGTTTCAGATACCACCACTGCCCCAAAAGAAAATATGGTCTTAAAAGTAATGAAATCATTATCTCTTTGCTTTCATTATACAGTTTAAAAAGCTGATTTAAACCAACAATGATAAAACGTGTGTAATGTACTTAAGTCTTTTGTCTTTCTTACTTGAGGTTGTACTAAGTAAATACAAAAAAACCCCTTACCTTATCAATTATCTTTTGAAAATGAACTTCTACAGTACAACTCTGAATATCCTTGTGTTCATCAGAATTATGTATTAGGACTGACAATTTTTTAGATCTTATTTTTTGTGCTCGATAGCCAAACACAAAAAGCATAGAATCAATAACATTGGATTTCCCACTGCCATTTGGCCCAATAATACAGGAAAAGCGCTGTATAAAAAAACAGGAAAAAATTTAAAAATTTAAACGTTCATAGTAATACTACTGATTTTAATTTAAACTGCTTGCCTTTTTACTTGCAGTAAAAACTACAAGCACTTAAAATTTTTCCTTGTTATTAGCACACAACTTGAGTTTTCTTACATCATACTCTCCTGTATCACAAGCTACAATGCCTTAAGATCACATTCTAGTTCTAATCCAGATTTAAAAGTCATTCTAATAGCTAAAGGGGAAACATTCCTTTTAAACAAAAACATTCAATGAGGAAAACTTTATAGAGATAGGCAGAACAGTTATAAAATTGAAACATCTTGTAATAAAGATGTATTAATTTACAAATGGTTATCCGAAATGGGCAAATACCTTATGGAAAGGTCCCAGAATTTTTTCCCCAGCATAGGACTTGAAGTTCTGGTTTACAATATGAGTTATCATAAGCCGAGGAGCTCCAGCTTCATTTGTCATTGCTGGAGGTGGGGGTGGAGGAATACTATTCAAAATCTCTTCTAAACTTCGGTTATCAAGTTGCTCACCTGAAGTCTCTAAATTAGTCAAAAGAAAAGGAAGGGAAGGGAAAAAAGCCTGTATTAAGTTTGGAAGACTACTGCCTACTAATATTTTTAAAAAAAAGAATGGAAGAACGTTACTTTAGAAACCTAGAAATCTCTATTCCCCATACAAATACAGTATTATCCTAAATTCACGGGGATGCTAATTAGTCTTTCAGTTTAGTTTTACTAAAAATAGAAATTCTTGAAAGAAATGCCACCATTCATAAAATCTACAGAACCAAAGTATACTTGGGAATCAAAACACTAGATCAGGAAAGAAAACACAACAAATGGATTGAATTCCGTTTCCTATCCTAACCAGGAGACTAGATCCTAAGGTTCTAAGTCAGATCCAGTACTCCATCCGTATCTTTCAGCACCTGAAAAGCTTACATGCTTTCAAGGACACTGTCACAGGAACTTCGTAATAAGTATTACTCAGTTCCTGGACTCAAAAAGGCACAGCAATTTTCAAATAAATTATCACCGTTTTAAGGGCAACCTGAGACCACGGAGGTGGGGCTAGGGTCAAGCAACTTTTCTCGTTCAGTTACAGTACGTTGAGTCCGGGGAAAAAAAGGCTCACAAGTTCCTGGCCGATAATGCCGATTTTAATGAAAATAGTACCCTACCAAAAAGTGACAGAAATTCACAAATGAAGCACTCCGCACGCCCCCATCCTCTCCAGCACCGTTACACCGAAACTGCACTCGAATCCTATCTCTGAAAATCGCCAGATGGCTTTCCATAGCTGCTCTACAGGAGACCCTGGTCTTTCGAAGTCAACCATACACCTCTGCCTGCGCCCCACGACCCCTGCCAGTCTCGGGCTGCTCTCCGACGCACCCAGTCCCCCTGCGCACGCTCCGACCGAATCGCGGCGGGTCACTTACCTGCGGCGGCGACGGCTGGGCTCTCGGCGCGGCCCGACGGCAGCTCCGATTCACTGTCGCTGCTGCCGGGGTCTGGGGACGAGGGTGTTCTCTTCTCTTTGCGTCGGGCTGTGGAGAGCTGGGTGCCTTTACGGGGCATGGTCGCTGGGCCGGAGGAGAGCGGGGAATAAGTCACCCGCACTTCCCCACCAGACTCTGCAGCAGCCCGCCCCATTCGGGAAAACCTCGGCCCACCCGTTCCCGAGAGTCCCATCTTAAAACTCCACTCCGAGGCTGCAGGTCCTCAGGAAAGGGGCCAAAAACCACCCAAGCGGCAAGAAGGCGGACTGGCTTACTTAGTAAGACCTACAAGTGTAAAAACCTAGACGTGCCCGGAAATCCAGGACCGATCAAGTGTGTTTTAAAGGCTATCCGTCTGCAGTATAGCGTGTAAGAACACCTCTGTCGTCTTTCTCAACGAAGTAACTCCTATAAGTGGACCTTTGAGGACATTCCCACGCACTCGGGACTAAGGGATGCAAGCGCACTCTTAGACACAGTTCGCAGTAGCTTCAGGTTTGAGTGGCCATCAACTCCGGAGCAGGAAAAACTACACGGCGGCCAGCCGCCCGCTTTCCTCACCCCGCCATTTACCTCTTGGCGCACGGACGGCCCGGGGCACTCGAGGTCTCCTCGGCAGTCCAGGCGGGAAGCAGGGCAGAAGCTAGGACTGACCACCAGCCGTTTCCAAATCGGACTCCGGCAGCGTCAGGTCGGGCTCAACCATTTGGGGTGGCAGGAGTTTGTCTCCCGGGAGCGCGGGGCGGAGGCCCGCTGGGTACCGAAACACGAAAAGGCTCAGACCCGGTGACCCGTGCCTCAGGAAACGAAGGCTTTGCTCCCTCACCCCGTTGGAGACCAGAGTTTTTGAGAAGAGGTCCCGAGGGTTGCTGCCTCCCAGAGAAACGCGTAAAGCAGCTCGAGGAAGAGGCGCGGGGGAGGCGCGAGGGTGCCCCTGCCGCCGGGGGGAGGGGTGACAGCGAGAGAATCCCGCACAGCCTCAGCCCGCCCGGACTCGCTGCTCCCGCGGACAGTGCAGTTAATAAGAATGTGACAATCTGATCGGGAAAATAAGCACTTTACCTGCAGGACAGACCACTCAGACCACCGCTGGAAGCAGTTGTATAGGCCCACCCCCTCCCCGCTCTCACCGGTGTTTCGGCTCCGGGTCCTTCACTCGAAAATGGCGCCTAAAATACAAACTCGAACGGAAATTCGTTACAATTGCGCGCAATGATTTCTGGGATCCCCTAATTTAAAATAAAGTGCGGCGACTACCACCGCCATCTTCTGGTCGCTCGTGCGCGTGCGCGAAGTCCTGGCGGGCTACAGGATGGAGAGGAAGTTTCTATTAAGTGAAATGAAAAAGTGAGGAAATGGTTTCTGTGTCGCCCAAGCAGAAGCACTGCTACAGGAACTACAGCGTTTGCAAAAACAACCTGGCGAATTTTGAAAAAAAGGGGGAAAAACAGTAGGGTCACGCACACAGCTTGAGGCAGGGCTCAGTTGTCCAATCATGCTCCTTAAGGAGAGGGCGGGCTCGATTAGGGGCGGGGCCCGGGCCCACCCTGGTGACGTGCATTTGGGAAGTATCGCGGGAAGAGGAAAGCTAGAGCCTTACACTTAGAAGTCACCATGGTGACGGGAAGGGCTGGAAGCGCCTTGAAAACTGGTCCCAGATCTATGAGCAGTCGCCGCTGCTTTCCTAGAACTTGAGGTAAGTCTCTTTACCTCCTGGAGGTTTGAGAAAAGGGTTTGGAAGTTATAGCCATCACAGGATTCTACTGTCACTTGCTTTGAGAGTGTGTCCTTCGTGGAGCATCAGTTATTTCCGTTTCCCTGAGGGCAATGGGGCTCTAGAGGTAGCTTTTGGGATGCGAAGGAGGAAGCCTGGAGTTTGAAGGGCGTAGAAGGAAAACTAGAAGACCGAGTTTAGTGAATGATAGTGTAGTTCACAGGTCAATAGCAAAATTTTAATTTTTGAGTTATTGTTGTTAGGTAATTGTCACTAGTGAAAGGGATTTTGGGACTTTTAAAATCCTTTGACTAAAGGGCTTCTAATGGAGGAAAACGGTTTGCTGGGTTATCTGGTTATCTTTGTAAGAGAATTATGGATCGGCAAATATTTAAGTAGCTTTTTTACACATTGCACTGCTCAAGACATAATAAGGATTATTTAACAAGCACTGTAGTGAAAATTCTTGTCCCAGGGTGTTTAGTTTTGTTAGTGGGTTTTTCATTGAGTCTGTGGAACTGGTGGTAGGTGATTGGGATTTAGAGTTCATAACTCCTGTGGAAACTGTATACAGAATTCATATGTGCATTTTTCTGGAGAGTAGGTTTTCCTGCAGTTTTCGTATTTTCACACTTGGTCTTAATCCCTCACAATGTTAAAGAATCTCTAATTGATTTGACTACCTTTAGTATTTATTCAAGAACACTTTTAGAACTACCAGCCTCCTTTTTTTTTTTTTTGTAGGACCTGGCATATTAGAATACCGATAAATCTGCTTTATGAATGAATTTACATTGTTGCTCTAAATAGTATAGCTCTTGCACCAAGAAGCATAAAGTTAGATTCAGTGATTATCAAAAAGATATGGAGAGGACACTCCCTGCAAGTCTAAGCATTTGGTGGGTTTGGGAGACTAGTGTGGTTTGAACAAGCATTAATTGATTATAATATACCTTTATATTTTCAGCTGAAAAAATTGTTTTTCTAAAATAAAATACAGAAAATAAAACTCAATGAAAAATTTTTTTGGCTGTTAGAGATATCAAAATACAATAGGAAAAAAAATACTATAGGGATTCCATTTCAGGTCTTCTGGACTCCTTTTCATTTTCAAAGGTTGTAAAACAGTACAAAATCTGAGCAGAAGAGATATCAACTGTGGGGAAAAAAAAGCATTGTAGCCCAAATTGAGTGGTATATATGGGGAGCAGAGCAGAAAGTAGTAGAAAGATATAAACAAAAAGTTTAGAATCCCAATCCCCTTAGTTTTTATACTGTATGCTTGAACAATTTACTGAATTTATCATTTTCCCTAAGGGCACTCACTTATTTATAAAACCAGCATATAATATGTACCTCAATAGATTGTTTATAATTGTTCATATAGCACATGTAAACATTTGACTCATAGTTTTTTGTTTTTTTGAACTTGGGACCTTGCATTTGCAAGGCAGGCGCCAGAACCACCGAGCTAAAACCCCGGCCCCTTTGTAAGCATTTGATGTTGCTGTGTTTGTAACACTATGAGGCTATGTGCTAAGGATGAATAATGGGATGCCAAGTTAGA